TTCACAGGGCTGATAAATTGAGGTATGATGGTAGGTATCATTCTGACCACGTATCACAGATTTTTGATTTCTGATTAGTAGAACACCAACTCCTCTCGCTTGCTTCCTGAAGATATCAATCACCAGCAGACACTGTATTGGCACGACATGATTGACATTTAGTTCTCATTAATTCTCTGAATGCACACCCAATGGAGATTCAATTACTGGATGAAGAATAGAGTTTAGATAATGTGACTGTGTGCATGTAGTGGGATATGAAATATCCCGTGAGCCAAGCAAACAGTGAAAGTAAAACAAAATGAAATTCCTTCTAAGATGCCAAATAATTGCTCGGATCTCTTATGGGGTGCTTTTGGTGTGCAAACAAATGAGTTTGAATAAGGGGGATTTCTTTACTTTTATTTATTTCATTTGTCATGAGGTGACAACTTCTAATATTGGATTAAGTATGTGGTTTTGATGCACTTTGATGTGCTTTGAACCCAGGATATGTAAATTTGCTTGGACATTTAGGCTGAAAAGCTATGTAACATAAACATCTGAATACCTAATGAATGGGCTCTGATTTTTTCCCACACAAATCCACTGACCATGAGCTGATGTAACCACAACTTAACATCAACAAATCTTATTTAGCACCTCACACACTCCAGTTAATTGGACGTCATTGAGAACCGGCAGCTACACAAATTAAGGTAATTACATCTGCTTTGTTCCTGAAGGTGAAGGACAAGACTGTGTTTGATGCACTTCCAGCTCATTTCAGAAGAGTGCGTCGTTATTGATTGAGACCATGTGGTCAGATATCCTGTAATGATCTTGTGATCGTGCCCATAAAGATTGTAGTGTTCAGAAGCGTTCCATCTGTTGACTTCCATCTGAACCAAGACAATATGACACCTGTAAATGACCCAGGTGGCCCTATGTGTACAAACACTCACACCATGGTTTCATTTAGCAGGTTTTACAGACAGTCCCAATGGTTTTAAATTAAAATGCCTTAAAGGGGTCATATGATGCGATTTCAAGTTTTCCTTTCTCTTTGGAGTGTTACAAGTTGATTGTGCATAGATAAGATCCCTGAAGTTGCAAAGACTAAAGTCTCAAAACCAAAGAGATATTCTTTATCAAAGTTAAGACTCTGCCACGCCCCCTAAAACGGCTTGTTCTAACATGCCCCCACATATCTACCTCACTATGGAAATATTAGCATAATGCAGCCCAAATGTGCACACAAAGAAAGAAGGCGTGGTTTCAGTAACCGCAGTTAGTGTTGAAGCAGCATGTCAGGGAGACGCTGTGTGTTTCTAGGCGAAAGCAAAAGCACTTTATTTGGCCTTCCGAAAGTAGATGCATTTAGGAATCTTTAAGATTACTTACAACAGAACAGCAATGCATTTTATGGACGACCGTTTCGTGAACCTAGGAGAGGAGGTAATTCTGACTTTGCTATGACAATCTGGCGCTTCTGAATTAGCTACTGTTTTGTTATTAGTTTAAGTATTTGCTATTGACTGTTCAAATGCAGAGTTTTGCGCATCGTGTGTGTGTGTGTGTGTGTGTG